ACATACGTGCAAAACCTCGCCAGCTTCACAGTCAGTCTATCTGCTCCGAGGCTCAGTGTCCTGTGGTCTTAGACCAGGGCCGTCACTGTCTCCATGGAGGATGAGCTGATGCGTTTCCATTTCTGAAGGCACTTCAATTAAAGCACGCAGCACTGATTGTACTACCTGAGCCTTGGAAGCTCACCCTTCTCCTCTGGTTTCTTCATAGTCATGAAAGCCTCTCTTTCAGTCACAACAAGTTGACATAGTGGGGGCAGCCAGTCATTCATTCAGCACTTACTAGACACCCCCTACGTGCCAACCACATACTGTTAGAAGTTACAGTAATGAGGAAGACAGATGCCCCAACGCGGAATTACAGTTCGGAAGCAAGCGCTATGGAAAAGCTAAAGGAAAACATTCATTTTGTCATTTATTCAGCCATCCATTTCAACTCTATTTATAGAACCTCTACCACGTACTAGGAAGAGATCAACTCTAACACTTGTGGAGGCAGAATAGACATCAATGCCACTGGCCTGCAAATGCCCTCCGTTCCTTTACTTCCCGCTCTTGAGTTCATCTTACCACACGAGGGCTGCTCCCGTGTGCGTTTGGACACTTTCACCGAGAGCCTCTTGTAGCCAGGAAGTGGTATCTGTGACTGACAGCTGCATTAAATGTTTGGCTGAGAAGTGCTGGGATCCAGGGCCCAGGGAGTGGCCCAGAAAGGAGGTGGGATTTAGGTGAACATGCAGTTTTGGTTGCTTCACTTGACCTGAATCTGGGGACAGAGGACAGCAGGAGGGGTTTAGAAAATGGTTCTGATTCCAGCAGCTTCAGCATTAGCACACCATCCCCAAACTCCTTAGGCTCTGGCCTCAGTGGATGCTCACTCAGAACCCAAATCTGTGTTTTCACAAGTTTCCTACAGTGTTTCTGCACACTCTGCTTCAAGGGTGCTGTGTCTAATTCCTTCTATTTATAGATGACCAGACTGAGACAGCCAGCTATTCTGGGCAGCGGGAAGAGCCTGCTCAATCAATCATGAGGAATTGATTGTACAATACCTCCATGGGGACCGGTTTCCAGGTTCTGAGAGTAATACTTCCTATTTCTTGGGACCTTTCTGTACTTTAGTGGTAAATATGAGATATTGCAACTCTCAAAAAAAAAAATCCCTTTCAACTAACTCAGGTTTAAGAGGGCCGGAATAAGATATATAGCGAGTGACCCAAGAAAGAATTTCATTAGGTCACCAGCAAAGGAGTTAAAGGAAAGTTAGTGATAACAAACCACTCCAGAAAAGGACCCTAGGATGGCTTAAGGAACCATTTGTTGTTGTTTTGCTAAAGCGTTTTTTACTCTTTAGTTGTTATTTTAAGGAATGCTGATAACAAAGAAGGTTCTGGATAACATGCATCCTGGAGTTTAAAGGATATAGAAAACTGGTCATAATGCCGAAGAAGCTCCAAGATTGCATAGATCTTCCCGCCTCCACATCTAATATTCTGTTACTTTTTTTTTCACTTTGTTTCTGGGTCCAATGCAAATGAACTCATGGGAACTTCCTTAGTCAAAGTCAATCCCTCCCACCCCTAACATTTTAAGGCATTACTTTGGTGTTTCTTCCTCTCTCTTTATTTTTTCTTAGTTCTCAGCCCTCTCCAGGTTGTCTTCTCTCTCTCTCTCTCTCTCTCTCTCTCTCTCTCTCTCTCTCTCTCTCTCTCTCTCTCTCTCTCTCTCTCTCTCTCAGAAACAAACAGAGCAAGGTTTGATAAAGGAGACTACAGTACTGATTTATGATTTTTTTTAAAAAAGTGGGGCAGGTAATAGAACCCAATGGCAGAGGTCACACTCAGTATAAGGCCCTGCATTCCGTCAACAGTGACACCAGAGAAAGTGTGTGAAAAGACGGAACTGTGATTATGTCATACAAGGTCCCTTTACTCAGCTACAATTATCAGCGTGTTGCCATCCCATCCTCTCTGGGTGCTGCTCTCTTCTTGTCCCCTCTCTTCCCCTTCCCCATCTCTGGTGTTTATTAAAGAAAATCCCAGGCATCGTATCATGTAACTCATTTCCTATAGAAATCTCCTGAAGACCACAAGAGAGAGTAGACTGGGAAAGTGATTTTTTTTTAAGATTGTGTTATTCATCAAATAGGTACTTTTTTGTTACTGTGTCGGCAGAAAATGTAACATTCTAAAACCTCTACATGACACAATGGGTAGAAAGTTTTGGTTATCTTTCTCTAAAGGCTTTTAGGAGGAGGTCACAAGTCTTCCTGTACTATGAAAACAATAACAGAATCTCTGAAATTCTTGGATGTTTGTAAACCTAAAAAGAGGCATGTGTTGTTCTTAGAGCATTGTTTTTGAAGTGAAAACCTATCAACGTGCGAAGCTTGAGTGGATCTTTATGAGAAGCAACCCTCACACATTTACCCGTCCTAGCCCCTTGGGCTGGTATTGTAACCTGAAAGCAGTTAGCATCCAGCACTTAGAGAGGAAAGCATGGTGCGCAGTTGTTTTAATGTTTGTACTTAACAGATTTATGGAGTATCAACTAATTTAGAAGTTTGCTTATTTCCCCTTAGTAAACATCACCCAACTAAATTTGGGTAGAACACCCTGTGAATAAGTCAAACAGACAGGGGCTCCAAATGAGGAAATTAATTATAGCTAGTGTCCCAGGGAAAAGAACCCCACTGTGGCACAGAGAATGTAATTAATGGGAGGGAAGTGCCAACAAATCACTCTTTAAAATATTAACGCTATCAAAGAACAGCTGGATAAGGGGGAAACTTGACCCTTGGGGACTGTTGGAGGCGGCTGTTGCTGCTGTACAGTTTCACACAGTTGTGATGTAATGAAATTCCTCAAATCTCAACTAAGAAAAAAAAAAGGTATTAAGTAGTGTGGTTCTGGGAAAGTTATTAAGAGTTAGTGTGTCTTTGAGTCCAGTCATTTTATTATGATCATTGTAGCTCACATTTGCTGTGGTTTCTAAACGACTTTCCCTTTGTTTTCCTGAAAACAACAAAACCACCCTGCCTCCAAAAAAATAGAGGTTTTTTTTTTCTTCCCCAACTTGAAAGCCCGGTAACAACATTTTTTTCCCTATATAAATAAAAATCTATTACCTACGAAATTTCTACCAAAATAGTTTCCCGGTGTGCTTCAATTAAGTTCTTAGTCAAGAAAATATACTCTGTTTGTTTGCCTAAACGTAATTTGGCCATCCTTAACAGCTTGTTAACTTATCATTGCCCCCTCCCAGTGTCTGTCATAGAGCGATAAAGTTTTGCATAGTCTGTTAAGTACGTGGAATGTATGATATTTACTTCTAAAATTAAATGATAATCTCGATTTTTAAGATTAGAAGCTAGAAGTAATTCTTTACTCGGAATGGACTTTAGAGGCTTAAAAATAAACGGTTTTACTCGGCATTGAAGTTTTTCTGGAAGCCTCTGGGATCACGGGCAGCTGCGGGTGTGATAAATACTCGTGACCGCTCGCTCGTGTTGGCGGCGCTCAGACACTTCCTTCCATTTGTTTCATGAGACTTGCTAACATCTAAATCGGTGGCGGTATTCAGAGTGTTTGACAAACCGTGTGGCTAAGACGAACGTCCTCACACGTAAGGAACCAATAAACCCGGAGAGGAAACACAGGTTGCAGTAAAAATAAAGCCCTGACGTTAGCCCAGGTTTCACATAACTCGGGCTTCGCAAGACTCTCCCTCCGCTGGAGCAGCCGTGCCCCTGCAAACAGCCCACAAGGGACACATCATTTAAACAAATGTGTTTCTTTGCCCGAACAGAAGTTCAGATAGGCTCGATTATCATTAATTCTGCTCTTTTATTTCCTTTGCGGGCGCGAACACCGAAACCCTGGCCTTTGAAGTGCGGCTGGCGGAGCTGACCCGGGTCCTCCCCGGCGCCGGCTCAGCGGTGCGGGAAGGAGGCGGCTGAGAGTGAACTTGTGGAAGCTGGGAGGGGGTGGTGGCGTGTGGGAGTGAGGTACAGATGTTGGTGACCCTAAAAATCAAGTTATCGGAACCGAACGAAACCCCAGAATAGGAACGAACTGAGTCTGTGCAAAAAGCCCACAGAACACCTGATGAACGCCAACCTCTGCTCTGGCTTTCAAATGAAACCGGTGAAACTCCAGCTGGTCGGCGCGTCCCCTCGCGAGCTGGCCTTCGTGGACGAAGGCGGGACCGTAGCCTTTACCGTCGTTCTGCGGGCTTTCCCTGGCTGTGTGACAGCTAGGTGGGGGGGCGGGGGACAGGTTCCCTCGGGGGTCACCGCCAAGTCCCGGGGGAGCGCCGTGGGTGGGTGGGGGGGCGGCTGGGAGACGCGCGTGAATCTGCGGGCGTCGGGGCCCGCACCACCGTGTGTCCGCTGTGATTAGCTCGCGCGGCGACCCCGGAGGGCGGACTCTTCCTCACCCGCGTGTCTCCTCCTCCCTCTGCCTTTTAAAGGGACGCCCTGCAGGCAGATCTGTCAGCCACCCCAGGTCCTCTGCACTTGGCCTCGGCTAGGCTGTCTCCCGCCCGCGTGACTGTCAGGGGCCAGAGCTGAGTTAGCAGCAGGTCCCCGGGGTCTGCGCTCCTGACTCTGCTGGGTAGCCGGCGACAGCCCACAATCGGGACGCTGCCCGGCCTTATAGTTGGTGATCCGGGGTCGGACGGACCCCGAGGAAAGCGGGGAAGGAGGCGGCCCGGGCGCGGGTGCTCCTAGCGCGATGAGCCCGGCCAAGGGCGACTGCAGTTTCAGTCGCAGCCTTCGCGGTGGTCTCCCGCGCACCCTGGTCCCCTCGCCCCCGCGCACCATGCTATCTCCCTGCCAGCGGAGCCCGTGGCGCAGCCCGCGCCTCCTGCCCGGCGGCTTCTAACCCACGAGAGCCTGTTCGCGACCGCGGGGTCAGCTGGCCGCACAGGGTCGGGGGAGGCGGAACCGTGGTCCCCGGAGCCCCGGCTCCGCCCTCCGACTCTCCAACTGCCACCGGGCGCGGGGCGGCGATGGGGGCGCTGCTGGCGCTCTGTTTCTTCGTAGGTTTGCTGCGCTGGGGCCCGGTGGGCGCTCAGCAACCTGGGGAATACTGCCACGGCTGGGTGGACGCACAGGGCAACTATCACGAGGGGTTCCAGTGCCCCGAGGACTTCGACACGCAGGACGCCACCATCTGCTGCGGCTCGTGCGCGCTGCGCTACTGCTGCGCTGCAGCCGACGCCAGGTTGGAGCAGGGCGGCTGCACCAACGACCGCGGAGAGCTGGAGCACCCCGGCATTACTGCGCGTAAGTGCGGCGTCCCTGGGCGGACCCGGCAGTGTCCACCAGACACAGGCACGCTTTATTAGCTCGGGGCGCAAAGTGAACTCCTCAGGGTCTGGGCATGGAGGGAAGGGTGGGTGACCGCATTTCATTCAGATCGGGGGATCCCATTGCTTTGCAGTTTGAATCCCAGCTGCACGTGGTCTCCGTGGTTCGGCCCTAAGGAAAGTTTGCAAGGGATTGAGGGGACTGTGGGGCTGGTGTGCACCTGGTGCTTCTAGGGAAGACAGCTGGAGCTAGGCTGGGTTTTCGTGTGCACACTGGTTGCTTAGGGAGCTCCGGAAGTGTCAGAAAACGCAGGGAACGCAATTGTGATCAAGAGACCAGATCCATTCCGCAGGGAGACTTTTTCCTTTCCTTTCCTTTCCTTTCCTTTCCTTTCCTTTCCTTTCCTTTCCTTTCCTTTCCTTTCCTTTCCTTTCCTTTCCTTTCCTCCCCCTTCTCTCTTTCTTCTGTCTTCCTTACTCCCCCCCCCCTTTTTGGTAGAGTGGTAGCATTTCCTCGCTCTCCCTAACTTCCTTTACTTCTCCGAACTGTATTACCCTCTCTGTACCCCCTCCCATTGTCATGCTTTTCAGAATCACCCAAATCTTCGGGGTGGGATTTAAAATTCAGGGTCACAGGCTTCCTCAGGGCCCCCTATTCTCACGTCGGAAAACACGGCTCAAATTTCTGCTCACTTGCTCACTTAAGAGGTGAATAAATCATGACCCCAGCAGAGGAAATTTACACCTTGGAAAAAGTTTTCCACTTGAATAGGAACATTAGGGAAACCTTTTATGGCTCAAGGCGATGGTTTTATTGCCAGGAAACCCGAGAAGTGTGCAGAGTTGAGAACCCGCGATTCTCCAGGACTGTGAGGCTTTGGCCTGGAACCTGTACCCTACTAGATCCTGTGGAAGGCAGGGGGAGGGATGCAGGAGAGACCATCCTTGTCTCATCCTCCAAATGACAATCCAGAAGAAAGGGGGCCAGGAGCATCCTGGGGTTTCTCTTCTGGGATTTAATTTTTGTGTTTAGGGGAGAGTGTCAACATTTTCAGTCCTTGGGATCTGGGATCTGAGTGGAAGGCAGAGAACTCTGGGCTATCCTGGTCTATTGGAACGAGACTTCCCTGCTGGTTCCTGGTCCTGTACTAGGGCCCCTGCTCCTCTAGGCAGGGCAAGCCAGCCTCCTGCTGGAGAGGTAGACTGTGGGAGGGGAGAATCAAAAGAAGAGAGCAGAGGACAGGAGTACTCTCACCATTTAGTGAGTCTAGGATCGGGCTAAGCAGATGGATAGTGGCTTCGAATCCTGCCAGCAGTTTAGCCTCTGGGGACTTAACTACACTGGGCCACTTCTCAAATTTAACATGGGCATATTGCCATCAAAGAATCAGTTTACTGATGAAACCATCATACAGATGCTTGGTGAAGTGTACAGGCCACTTTTGCCTAGCCGTATATACTTGTGGTACTCACAGAGGTGGGCCTAAGAGAAGCAGAAGAAGTAACTTAGCAGCCCTTAGGCTGTTTCCTGTGGCTCACTGGCCTTATCTCTGGAAAAGTTCAAAGCCCTTTGATACGTGTCCATATCTAGAATGGAGGGAGTTTCTATCTCTCATGGCCTTGGTGGAAAAACCAATCAGATACAGAAAAAAAAAAAAAGGCACAAGGGCCTTGGTCAGCTCAGGTGTTTGTCTGCTGCCCAGAAACTGGAGGCAGCCTCTCATCATGGTTCTTTGACACAGAGAAGCAACTGGGACAGCTGCCCCCATGATACCTCTGGGGGGGTGGGTATAGTCTTAATTCTCTCTTCGTTTTAGAGATGAAAGCAAACTAGGGTTTGCTGTCTGAGAGATGCCAATACCAAGAAGTGTGTGTTGTTGTTCTATCTGTGGGTGGGGACATAGAGACAGGTACTACTGGAGTCAGGACTGGTGATTTGTGAGGAGATGGGAGATGCAGTAAATTGGGGCTCACTGCAGACTGCTTTACTGTTCTAGAGTCCCATGACACCCCAGGCTTCATTCAACAGATCTGGTTCTTTTGTTAGACTTGAACCATTTGGGCAGGAGATTGATCGTCAGTCTAGAAGATGGGTTAGGCTCTTAAGTGTGACAGAACTCCTAAAACCCAGGAGTTAAATGCACATCCAGGGTAACCCTCAAGCTCACCTTCTCCCTTCTGTGTACGAATAGGACGACAGATTGTTCATTTCTAACTTCCAGATGTTCAATATGATGGCTAATTGCTACCAGAGGCTATGGGATCAGTTTGCTTCCTCCCTACTAGGGGCAGCAAGAACACTCATTCCATCATCGTAGTTTGTGATTTGGAGGTTGCCAGTCACGTGCTCTGAAAAGCTGAGCCACAGCAATAGTGAGCCTTCTGCTTCCCACACTGAAGACGCTAAAGCAAAGGTTGAGCGGCCTTTACCCATCAACTCTGTGTGTCTGTTTTGCCTTTTAGAGCCTGTCTACGTCCCCTTCCTGATCGTCGGCTCCATCTTCATCGCCTTCATCATCTTGGGCTCTTTAGTGGCCATCTACTGCTGCACCTGTTTGAGGCCCAAGGAGCCCTCCCAGCAACCAATCCGCTTCTCACTCCGCAGCTATCAAACAGAGACCTTGCCCATGATCCTCACCTCCACCAGCCTCAGAGCCCCTTCCAGGCAGTCCAGCACGGCCACCAGCTCCAGCTCCACAGGAGGCTCTGTCAGAAGGTTCTCCTTTGCCAGGGCCGAGCCAGGCTGCCTGGTACCTTCATCACCTCCACCTTATACCACTGGCCACGCCATACACCTAACCCAGCCATCTGGTTTCCTGGTGTCACCACAATATTTTGCCTACCCTCTCCAGCAGGAGCCCCCGTTACCTGGGAAAAGCTGTCCGGATTTCAGTTCCAGTTGATGGGCGGTGAAATGGTAGCCAGGTGAATATTGCTACCCTGGCCAAGCGGTACTCACTTTTGGAGGAAATTTGTGGTAAGGCATCATGATCATGGAAGAGTGGTCCAGAAAGATACAGCACTCTCTGGTCTTGAGGTCCTTGGCTACAGAGGCCTGACTTTGCAAACATGATGAACATTACAACTTACTCATCTTTTGTCAAAATATTCGGCAGTTTGATGATCAGTTTGCAAGTTGAAGGAAAATATTTTACTGGACAATTCACCTATCCTTTGTAGAAAAGTGTCCTGTGTTCCTTTTCCTGTGTTGATTGAATTATAATACAAATATATACATAAATAAGGAAGGTCATATGCTTAATTGTAATTGTAAAGGTTCACTTAAAATTTAACTGTTAAGTAAACTTGAGGGACCAGTGAACCACATATTTATAATTTTGAGAGTGACCTAACCTTAAGTAATGTTAGTATGATGAGAATATTTACTTCTTAAATTAATAACAAATTTTGTTTAAAATGTAAGAGCTTTCTTTTTCCAAAATACAAGGTTTCAGTAACCACATAGGAAGATTAAAGTTTTAAATACATACTTAAACATTTGTTGTAGCACAGACTCTGTGTAAAATCACTTCCTCTGCCAACCTTGGGGAATATTTATTGCAGACTTTTTGTTCAGCAATATTAGCGTTTAAAATGAAAGTTGGACAATTGGGTCTTAAAACATTTATTTGTAAAAAGAATTATATATAAACATGAAGATTTGTAATTTAATTTACTTGCTACATTGACAGTACTAATTATTTAGAAGTCACACTGTAACTTTTGTGGAAGTCAAAGGCCATCTGTTAGTGGAACCATTGAGAAATCCACATTTTATGTGTGGCTGTGTATGATGTCTGGTGAGTACACATATGGGCCAGGCTAGGAAAAATAAACTTCTCTGGTTTCCCGAACCCTATTTGAGGTTTTCAAATCAAAATTCTTCATTGTATACACTTAGTGACAACTTTTCTTTGCTATCTAATAAGAGGAAGTGTCTTTATCCCATACTTCAGCTTTTGAAATTAAGGGAAACATAATCTTCATTAGGATTTGTGAAAGCAGCAGAGGTCAATTCTTACAGAGATCTTAGCAAACTGTCTGTGGTACACACACCGCCCCCCCCACACCACATGACCTGTAAAGTTTGAACATCCAGACATTTTTCATAAGAACCTGAAGTCTGACTTTTTGTGACACACAGAAGATGTGATGCAGCTCATTCTGCCCAACATGGGGTCAGGCCACCCGCCACTTTCCAGACCCTTGCCTATCCATCACGTGCCTCCTACACTGCCACCTACCCCCGATGGTGCAGCTTGAAAGTCCAGTTTCTGAGAATTTGTTAGGTCTCAATCACCTTCAGTAGCGCTGCCCTGTGTCAATGGAGGTAGAATTCTGCCCGACGAGGGTTAATTGGCTTCCTTGGTCTGCAGTTGAGGGTCAGAGGAGACCAGTGTGAAGCCATGACTCCCCTGCCAGCCAGCTTCCAGCCTCTTCTTTCTCCCACGTGCAAATGTAGTCTTTCTCCCAAGTATCCAAGATTATACACAACAACTAAAGAAGCAGCTGAATGTAAAGAACAAGCCTTCAAGACAGCCATCAGAACCACACGTCTGTGTCCTCACATATGCCCTGTACCACTTCATTGGCAGTTTTATGTTAACTTCTGCCAAGTGCTGAGCAGTTGTGTATTAACTTACCCCATGCTCCAAATGATGCTAACAGGGAGGTCTTACAATCCCCACTTTATAGACTTGGAAATGCAGGCAGAGGTGTGTAGTAACTTGGTCAACTCTCTACAGCAAGTAAATACTGGAGTTGGTGTGTAGTAGTTGATTCAAACACCAGGACAGCATCTGCTTTGAAATACATAACTTTTTTTGAGATAGTGTATCCCTACAAGTCAAGGCTGGTCTAGAATTCATAATCCTGCCACTGCAGCTTTCCCTCCCACTCACATACTGGTGTTACGGGTGTGTCACATATATACTGATGTGGGTGTGCTCATATATCGATTCTTGGAACTGGTGGGCGCAGTTTATGTTTCTTATTTTGTAATCTCTTTAATGGTCAAAATATACATGAGTAATATACATGTAATTAAAACAAACCCACTCAGTGCTCTAATGAGAGAGAGACAGAGACAGAGATAGACGGAGACAGACAGACAGAGAACCTACTAGAAATTGTCAAAGCTTTGGCAGGTTACTAAGGACTCAGATGTCAATCCTTCATAGAGTCACTGAGCCAATTTCATCCTCCCATGCCCACTTCCAGTCTACAAGAGGGTGGAAATGCCCCCTCCCATGCTGAGCACAATTCAGTTACTGCACTTTCTGTTTCCTGCCTCTAGGGAGACTAGGACACATTATTTTTTTATTTTAATTTTATTTTTAAATTTAAATTAGAAACAAGGTTGCTTCGCACGTCAATCCCAGGTCCCTCTCCTTTTCCCTCCCCTCCTCCCACACCCTCCCACCAACCTCCCAATGCCCCTCATTTCCCCAGGGAGGGTGAGGCCCTCCATGGGGTGTCTATAGTCTGTCATTTCATCCAGGACAGGGCTTAGACTCTTCCCCAAGAGTCCAGGGTGAGAGCGCATCTCTCATTGTTGGATGGGCACCCAAAGTCCATTTGTATGCCAGGGATAAATATTGATCTACCCAAGGCCTCATATATTGCCTAGGCCTCCTCACACCAGGGGATCTTGATCAGTCCCATGCTGAATTCCCAGCCATCAGTCTGGGATTCAAGAGCTATCCTTTGTCAGGTCAGCTGTTTCTGGGGGTTAAACCAGCCCAGTCTTTACCCCTTTGCTTGTCAGTTCTCCCTCTCTGTCATTGAGGTCAGCTCAGTGTTTAGCTGTGGGAGTCTGCCTCTGCTTCCATCAGCCATTGGATGAAGGTTCTGTTTCCCAGACTCTCTGGCAGTGGGATTGTAGGCTGGCACTCCCCAGATCTATGTCTAAAATCCATATATGAGAGAATACATACCATGTTTATCTTTTTGTGACTGGGTTACCTCACTCAGGATGGTTTCTTCTAGTGCCATCCATTTGCCTGCAAATCTCAGGATTCCATTTTTTTTCTGCTGAATAGTACTCCATTGTATAAATGTACCACATTTTTCTATCCACTCTTCAGTTGAGGGGCATCTAGGTTTCTTCCAAGTTCTGACTATTACAAATAATGCTGCTATGAATACAGTGGAACAGATGTCCTTGTATGAATGGGCATCTTTGGGTATATGCCTAAGAATGGAATTGCTGGGTCTTGTGGTAGCCTGATTCCCATTTTTCTGAGGAATCTTCATGCTGATTTCCATAGTGGCTGTACGAGTTGGCACTCCCACCAGCAGTGGAGGAGTGTTCCCCTCTCTCCACATCCTCTCCAGCATAAACTGTCCTGGTGTTTTTTTATTTTAGCCATTCTGACAGGAGTAAGAGGGTATCTCAGAGTTGTTTTGATTTGCATTTCCCTGATGGCTAGGGATGTTGAGCACTTTCTCAAGTGCCTCTCAGTCATTTTAGACTCCTCTATTGAAAATTCTCTATGTAGTTCTGTAGCCCACTTTTTAATTGGATCCTTTGGTGTTTTGGAGACTTGCTTCTTGAGTTCTTTGTAAATTTTGGAGATCATCACTCTGTCAGATGTGGGATTAGTGAATATCTTTTCCCATTCTGTGGGCTGCCTGTGTCCTTTGCTTTACAGAAGCTTCTCAGTTTCAGGAGGTCCCATTTATTAATTGTTGATCTCACTGTCTGTGCTAGTGGTGTTATGTTCAGGAAGCTGTCTCCTGTACCAATTCGTTCAAGGGTACCACCCACTTTCTCTTCTAAGAGGTTCAGTGTGCTGGATTTATGTTGAGGTCTTTGATCACTTTGGACTTAAGTTTTGTGCATGGTGATAGACATGGATCTGTCTGCATTCTTCTACATGCCAGCCTCCAGTTATGCCAGCACTATTTGTTGAAGATGCTTAATTTTTTCCATTCTGTAGTTGTAGCTTCTTTGTCGAAGATTAGATGTTCATACATGTATGGGTTACTATCAGGCACACTGATGCTGAGGGATTCTTGGTGTGCTCACATCTAGACTTCCCTGCTGTGGCAGGATTCTCCAATCAACTGGCCAGATAGTATTTAAAATTAGGATGATATTATATACGTGCTTCATTATAATGTGACATTTATTGATGTCAAATCAAATCACTAGCTCATGTACTTGCTGACACAAAAAGTATCTTCGCACGGCTCTTCTCTTTGGAAGCTAAGCAGCTGCTGATTACTTATGATCTTATCATAGTAAAGCCATCCTATGGTAATTTCTAGACATGCCTCATTCAACAAACCTTCCAATGACATTCTTTACCTTTGGGTCTGGCCCCATGTGAGGGGTTGAGAACATCAAGAGGAATTCAATGCAGTTCTGATTCCAGAAGTCACTACATTGCATTGCTGGCTAAGGCACAGCAACTAATGCCAAAGAGGAAACATTGCAGGTGCTTTCACAACGAGGGCACTGTGGGGAGCCGGGCATGGCTCAACGGATATAGTGCTTGTACAAGCTCGAGTGCTGGAATTTGGATCCTTAGCATCCACATAAAAGCTGAATGAGCATGGTGACCACATTGTGCACCCATGAAGGTGAAGACGGGATCCCTGGCAAGCTGGCTGACTAGACTAGCTAAATCAGTGAACTCTAGGTTCAACTGGGGGCCCTGCCTCAATGAATAAGGTAGAGGGCAATCAAGGGAGACTCTTGATACCAGCCTCAGGCTTCCACATGCACCCCCCCCAAACATGACCCCCCCATCACCACAAACAGGTACACATGTGGACAAACATCACACATACACATGTAAAAAGAAAACAAAACAGGAGCATTGGCATTGTCCCTTCTCCCTGGGAGCTCACAGCCATGGGGAAAGATAAGTCCACAAGCTAGTGCCTAGGACTCACCATAACTGTGGGTACGACGAGGGTCTGTTGGAGGACGGGAAAATGTGTGGAGGGTTTATGTGAGGGAGACGAGCATGGGGCAGTAGAGATGAGTGATGGAATTAAGAGGCAAGAAGATCTATGAAGGTAAACGACCCAGGAACATCTAGGGATAGATTAGAACTCTTGAACATCAGTGTGGCTGGATACATACCAAGTTAAAGATTTTTATAAGAGGCTGTGAATTCCTCATAGTTTCATTTTTGGATGATTAGACATGAAGAGACAAGTTATATGATATCTCTGAGGACAAGCTCACCATGTGGCAAGTTGTCTGCTTGAGGATTTTGTATGCATGAAGAATTTGAGTCCTAGCATCCTCAAATCATGACTACTGTGAAAACTAGAATTCTAGGAAACTAGATTTTTGAAATATGGTTATTCCTATGATTAGATTTATTAAGCAATGTATATTTCTCAAGGGCCTTCTACACTATGATACTGAGTTTTCAAGTGGTCTTTCATCTGAAGTAGAACTATTATATGCTTGTCTCACGGATGTTGAAATCAATGCAGGAAGGTTAAGCAGCACGTCCCAGACAAGAGACAAGGATAGGAGGGTGAAGATCTGTGTCCCAGGAAGTCAGCTTTTCAATTCTCTATTCTTTATGACAGTAGCCTAGAAGGCCCAAGTTTCTTAGGAAAACAACCCAATGCCCCAGAAAATCCATGGGGGGAAAGTGACTAGTTATATAGTGTCATACATTTCCTATGGCATCAGGCGTCCTAATAGACATGTAGCTTGTGCTACATTATGAGGACATGAAATAAAGCATGAAAAGAAATGTTAAATGATAAACATTTCTCCCTTTACATACAAGAAACAGGAGATACCAGAATGTGGTTTGGCATGGCTTTTGAGTCTTATGTCTGGTTAGTTTTCTGGCTATTGCTTAAAAGAGACTTTGGGCCCCATGTTTCACAGCTGGTTTTCTCATTTGTAAAATGGAAGTGTTAATAGCACCTCATTGCTTTGGATTTTCTGGGTAAGAAGAATGATTGTCTCAAATCACTTGGATTCTAGTGGGGAGGAACTGGGTGGTAAATTAATGGTATGTACAGAGAGCAGACGAAACACCCTAGAATAACAGGAGTACTACTCTGTGGACCAAGGCTTTATTTAACACATGGGCCCAAAACACCGCATAGGCTATGCACTCATTTTATCATGTTATAGAAAACATATCTAACAGAGAAAGTTTGCTTTAGAATTTATTATCCATTCCAAAGCCAACTTATTATACTTTTAACTGTCCAAATTGATATATTGTTTCCCTCATATTTTTTCTACCCGGTTATTCTTTTTGGTGTTAGGAGCTGTATGTCATATTATCAGATTGATTTGAACCCACAGGAAATTTTTTCTTAAAATGGGATAAATAAAAGACTTCCTGAAAAAAAAATACAGTTACAATCAGGAATCTGGTACAAGACATTGATCTGGTATCAGTTTTAAAATTTCATATATGTTTAGGAAAAATAATAATTTATAGGCATGCTAAGCTATTAAGGGGGCAAAGTGATAACATATATTTATGTAACCGGCTATTTACAAATTACAATTAGACATTCATTATTCTGACAGAATGTTTCTTTCATTTGCTACCCAGTTGGTACTGAGAGGTAATAAAGACCAAATGTTAGTAAGTATTTCATATTTTCCACCTTTTTTTATGAGCTTACTTGTGAAATTATCCAGGTTCGTAAGATCTTTCTTCACTACACTGAGGTGCCTATGTTGCATCAATGGTAGCTTTGGGTTTGGGATGCTGTAAGCATGGGAAAACAGACTTTAAATGGGGATGACATATTGAATTTACGAGATTATATTTCAAGTTTGCTGTTGCCTATGGTACCAGTAGAAGGCAACTGAAGTCAAGGCAACAGTATCAATATACATTTTTTTAAAGGGGGAATGGCGGTTAAGTGTACAAATTCTAAGAGGTTTCAAAGGTAACTTCTCCACAAACTGCTTTACTGGAGCTCTACAGGAAGACCCACCACCAGGTGCCTCAGGAAGCCTGTGGGAGAGGACAGAGGCTGGAACAGCTAAATAGATATCACCACAGTGTAATCAAATCAGATATTTTCCGATTTGTCATGCACAGTACCTCTGTATCAAGAAATCTTCATCCAATGGGCTTCTACTAAATGATATTTATTTCTGAAGAAAAAATTATCATTATTTCTGGTGTTTCCCTGCACTTTTGGCCAACTCTCCTCTTCTCCCTCTTTCTCTTTTTAAGGGGGTTTAGGAAACTTAGGAGATTCTTCTAACACAAAAGGACAGACAGCAGAGTGGACCACTGACTGGCAAGCTGATTTAAAATGCAGAGGTTCATGGTACACATTTCTAAACCATAAAATTGAAATACTGTAATTTTCCAGAAAACACCCCTCTGTTAACGACACAAACTACCCTCCTATCAAATTAGAGCTAGTTTTATATTTCATTTAGCTGAATTAAATGAATTAAATATAGCTGCAAACAAAATGTTAAGAAGTGATCAGTTGGCTACTCTGTTTCAGACTGTAGTCACTGTGGCTTTGACATAACTTCTAAATGTAGCAATCAAAACTTTAGCCAGTGCTGTTATGTAATGGTAAAGTTTATTTTATTTTTAATAACAATTAGAGGACAAATGTTTAAAATTTGCAGTTTAAAACATGCACATCCACAAAAGGCCAATGACAGGAAACAGTGCATAGAAATGGATTTTACTCAACGGTAGTAACTATTTATAAAACACAGTGCATTGAACATTAGGATACACAAACCTGAGAGAACCACTATAAGCACAGATTCGACACTCCCCACTCATGCAGCGTCACAATCTCTACAGCAGTTTCTGCAAAATGGCTTTTCCACAGAGCTGGACGTTGATGGCATCTTTAATGCAAACTGTAGCTTTCACAGTTGCCTTCCAAGGCTGCCTTTGGACTTTAACTCACTACACGTGAAAGGGTGAAAATGAAGCCGGAAGAGGCTAACAACAAACTGCACCCACTGCGTTTATGGCTTCTAGTCTGTGACTGGGGAATTAAAAAAACTCTGTTCACATCTTTGCCATAGCAAACTTACCCATGGAAAGTTGCTGTTAATTCAAAATAAGCACATATGCAATCCACTTTTTTCCTACTCAGGGAAGATTTATTTGCTGAGAAGTTTCAGGAACTTTCTAGAGAAAAGTTCATAGAGGCAAACTAAACAGAAGATTCAATTAAATAAAAAGATTCAACTGAGTTTGATGAAACTTTTAAAATAATCCATTTAGTATTTAAAAAAAGCTGTGTGGAGGACTAATTAAATTGTCCACTAAGTACTAAATTCTAGTAAGGCCATGATAAAATTTTATGAGACAGAAATAAATATCGAGATTTTTACACAAGCCATGCATTTGCCTGGATCACTTTAAATATTAATTCATGCAAACCGTAGCCTATCAAAAAACAAAACAAACACACACAAAACCAAGAAGCCTAAACAGCTGCTCTCCTGCAGAAAATAAACCAGTCCAAAACATGGAGAGCATTCGCTTCCATTCCTTCAAAATTTAACTTACACTCCATTTTAACAGCTGTTGAAGGTTAATTAAAACACAGCAAAGTATAACTAAGTTTCACAAGTGTTTTATTTTAAGGTGAGAAAAATCAGGCTATGCTATGTTGAAGAGGCCATCCAGAAATACTCGTCATTAAAAAACATTTATGAGGCACAGAGCCACATGGTGTTACTGTAAGCAATGGACAGAAGGAATTCAACATACCTGGCCACCATAGTGTCAATGAGTAGGACATTCTCTTGATAAATCTTGTAGTTTACTTACTAAAGATTGATTTCATGAAACAAGTTTTAAGACCCAGAGCCATTAAAACCCCACCGTAGGATGAATGTAATAGCCACACACTTTTTTTTTTTAAAGAGGAAGTCTCTGTGGCTCTCTGACTAGCATTAATTTTCTGAAAGGACATTTTCAATGACAGCTTATGAGTGTGCCACTAAGTATAAGAACAAATTAATCTGTGGGTATCATTCCAGCTATCTGGGATACCGAATTGAAAAAATTACAATATGTAATTAAATGCTGAGACTACATGCTGATCATTCCTAGAATTCATTTTGCCTGTTGGGAAGGAAAAGGACTCACTGTCATTGGCTCTATAATGACAATACAATTCATGGCTCCCTTATTTGGCAGTATCCCTTCATCTGCCTGGGTGAGAGAGCTTTCCAGTAAATTCTCTTTGCTGCTGATGCCATCACACACAGATGTGCCAAGGGGAGAGCCAGCTAAGAAGCACACATTGCATTCCTGCTAATGCCTTCTACAACATAGCATCTTTTATGGTGCGAGACACCAATGTATTTTTGCATGTACATGTAACACATGAGAAAGTCCATGCTGTATACTGCTGTATATATTCCAACATGAGTGAAGACACTCCCAGCTTTTCATTGCTAATGTAATGAGGCTTTTCTGCCATAAATAGTATTTTCCGGATTGTAAACATTACAAAGCAGTCATGTCAGCATTTACTAGGGTCCCCAAAAGGGACTTTTAAATTGGAGTTACATATTGTTTATTTCAGAAAACATAGGTTTAAAGTCCCTTTGACTTTAGTTATTCAAATCCCAGTGAAACCAGGAACCTTTCCCTCCACTAACAAAGGCTAGAAACTCAGGAGTATTAAGTCTCTATAAACTCACTGCAATAGCAATTCTCTACTTCAAGTTTTACCTAAGTGGCTCCTCCCTGTGCTCTTCCCAACCCAAGTAACAGGGAGACTGACTTAATGGCCACCATTCAGACACTGGATCCAGGGCTGAACAGGCATCAAGAGTTTCATTTCAGGGTATGATGTACACTGATTAGCCACGAGTATTCACATGTGGAGGAGTTCTATCAGAATCATTCATGAGTTAAGATAAAAGAAGACTTCAGCTTTTCATGTGGAGGTCAGAAGATTCCATTCTCACTCACAGTGTTTTGATGGCGGAATCTGGAGACAGACGCCTCTGATGGCGAGGCCAAAGGGAAGCCATCCCTGGGTTACCACTCATTTCTGTGGTGTGATCTCAACTGTCACCACCAGGAGGCTGAGGAAAACCTACTCGCCAGATTTAGTTGGTGGAGGTCAAAGTCTGCAGCTTCACAATTTGATAGATCACCTTAGATTTTATGTGTGCAGTTCTGCCAGACGCTTTGTTCACAGCTTGCTCAATCTAAGCTCCAACAGGATGGGTTTGAGATGTGAAGTACAGTGCACTCCACTCCCTTTAGAATTATGGGAATGTGTAGAACCTCTCATTTGCAGGGAATGTGGAGACACACTGGTTCCTAGCTACAAATTTAGAGAAGGAAGAGACACACTCTAATTTTAAATCCAGACTGAGAGAAAGGGGGAACCATGATGAAATGGGGTAATTTCTCAAAGCTAGTCCTTGTACATGTTTAAGGGGCCCTATTTTGCTGGTAACCCACTTGAAGGCAAACAGGCTTTTGAGTAAAAGGCAGAAGAGTTTGTTTCCATCTCTGAAGTGTATCTGAAAACTAGAACTCCCTTTTTATCTTTTAAGATGACAAAAATATTGTAAAAACTGTAGAAAACTGGGTGTGGTTTTAAACAGCCCCTTCACCATTTATTGTTGGTAGCAAAATAGGCATTTCCCAGGACATTTCATGGAAACACCAAAACTAATGCGAATGGACATCTATTCGAAAGCATATCGGTGAGCCCTACTCATGATGAGACATTTTCATTGCCTGGAAAGTTTGCTGGAGTAAAATAGGTATCTCCTTAAAATGTGGGGAATGTGCTACTCATCTGTCTCGTGTCAGTAAGCAGTACATGACTCACTTTGGTAACTGTTGGCCGGGTGAACCGCGAAATAATTTTCAGGCTTGAGCACATGGGTAGTCACTGTCACACCAACTGTGCTACATATGCCGTCTCCAGTGGGAGCACACAGGGCGAAACAAACAGAACACAGGACAAAAGCTGAGCCTATGCACATGACAAAAGCCCATGCATCATTTGATGGATTATACAGAACGTCAGAACTGAAGCTTTGGAAGTCCCATGTAAATACGTAAGCATAATTTCTTAGGAGGGACAAAAATTGAAGACAAAGTGACATCACTCAATACACAATGGAAGTCAGATTTCTAGGAACATCTAAAGGACTCTAAAGTTCATCAGAAATGACAGACGATACAGTTCAAAACAACAACAACAAAAAATCAGCGTCGTAACAACGGTCACACGGACACAGGTCCCTCCGACTACAACGAATCAAGGGGACAATCGACAGAGAAGCAGTTGTAAGGCCGAAGGTGCGACATCACAGACCTTAGTAGCGAATGCCTGGAAATGTTCAATGTTTGCAAGCTGCACTCACATCTGAAAAGTCAAGCATGCAGATCGCACAGCAGCGCTGCGGGAAAACTTTCTTTTAAATTTCTGGGCAGTTGACTACTGAATGAGAAACACACACACTGAACGTCTTTGGCAAACACTTAGCAAGACACTTTTTGACACAAATACGTATTAATGCCTTGTTTAGAAGTGTTCAGTAGAGTGAGTCAAGAATGCTGGTTTGTTTCAGCCTATCCTGAAATCTAAGTCTGGATATCAAGAGTCCTCCCCTTACCACCATTTCAGTCTTTTTTTTTTAATGGTTGATTGACTGGTGGTTGAGCCAATGAACTGATAGTCACAGCCCCAGAGGGATGGCTTGTGAACACTGACCTGTCCCCATTTTGAGAAAGCACTCAGGCAAGACACAAGGTCATTTCCAATATCAGTTTACAAAGCCTTAGCAGGTACTTGAGAACATCTGAGGGTGATGGTGGTACAGTGGTACATAATGTCCATCTGTGAGGTGAGCTCAGATCCACTGTTTCTCCCCATGGACCAGACTAGACTGGGATTGGTCATCAGATTGCAGTGGGGACTGTAGATTGTGATAGCTCCTGTTGCTTAGTCCTCCTTATCACCACTCATCTGGCCTCTGTTTCGTGGTATCATAGGCTCTAATCACTTCAGACTGTGAGACGATGCCATTTTCATCTTGAGAGAAGGCATAGCCATCTGTAAGTAATGAACAGAAATCGCTTAATGAACTCACTGGAAATTACTGTTAGTTCTGAGTGTTCATGGCCTGCCTGGGAGAAACGGTATGGATTTCCCACCTTCAGAAGCAAGGGGCACTCATTTTTAACATCTGGAAAAGCACAAGTTCAGCAGTCAAAAAGGGAGAGTTGGGAGGACCAGAGATCGCCTGTGTAGAGCCTCTAAATTCTGCTTCCCATTCGACTAGGCAGAAACTGTCCAATGTTCCCCCATCTTCTGATCCACACAGCAAGTCTACTCCCTTCATTTTTGCTTCCCCATGATTAGAAGGGCTCAGAGTCTGATCATGGCACCGATACATTTTCAGACAGGCACCAGGTGAGTGAGAAGGTTGGAGAGTGGAATATGTAGGTGAACAGAGGAATCTATTAATTATCTTGACTAAATGATTCCGTCATGATTGAGCACACAGATGAAAACACTACCCTATACTCTCTAAATAGATATATGATCATTTGTTAATGAATGGCACTTAGGAGGAGGAGATAAACACACAGACAGACTCGCCAGAGGTGAAGGAGAGGCCTGCTTTCTTTAGGTAACATTCTTTTCTACACACACACACACACACACACACACACACACACACACACACACACACACACATTCGGTGATGTTTACATGGTCAGAAGAGGTGTGGGGATAGGAGATAACCCCTAGGAAGAATCACATCTTTGGAAAAGTCCCTTGATATATAAAGACCAAAGGAAAAGAAATTACATGTGGAAACACAAAATAAAAGATATATTACCAATACCAGCAAATTTACTACGGGCTGTATATATTATGTTCTCTTTCAGGTCCTTGAAATGTTAAGAGGGTGAGATACCCAATAACTCCTTCCAACTCTAAATATGCATAAATATTTTTGAAGGAGAAAATATATGTTTCCTTACATTGCATGAAGGCTGAAAAGACCCTTGCGAAATCATTCAAGTAGAAAAGATAACAACATAGAGGCAGCTTTTCAGAGTTAAGATTTATCCCACTGCTTCCTTTTAAGATTTAAGGCTGCAAGGAATGTGGAGACAGCATCATTTGAAAATTCACTATTAGCTGGGAGATGGTGCAGCCCACGGGTTTGCTAACCAACCACTTGCTTTTGTATGGCATGTTGTGAAACTTTGAACCATTAATTTTAAATGGTTAAATACGGTGGAAATACAACGCGCTGCTCTGATGCACAGAGTGCAGAGAATTTCATCAAAACTTCAACACTCACGGAGCAGGTTCTGCTGCAAGGACTCGGAGCGGTAGAGATTGACGTGGTTCTTCTTAAAGACATTCTTGAGCAACTGGGCCCTCTCGGTGAGGCTGTGGAGCAGGCACAGAAGTGTGATACACATTGTCAACTCAGGGAGCCGGGATCTCGGCAGGGCTACCAGCGGAGGTAGGCTGAACAAAAGCCTGAGAACCGGCAGTCGGGTCTGATTCTTTTTTATTCTATTTTCCCAGAGAGCAAATGAGGTCTTAAGTATTTCTCCCTTAGTTAGGGAGGAGTTTTATCTTTAATGATAATCTAGGAAAACTAGAATTTCTTTGCCCAGCACGATCATATCTAAATCAAGTGGGCATACAGGACCTGTTCAGCACAAGTAACATTACCAAAACATTACCAAATCGTCTAAAACCTCAATTGCCCCACTGTGTGTATTCTAAGTACAGAACTTTTAGAGTTTGCACACAGCTATCTTGCCCATGCTGTGTCTTACTTACACTTTGACATACTCTGACAGAAAATGATAGCTTTAATTATACTAAAAAATGAAAAGAAGAAAACCACAAAGGACAAAATATTATCTTTTTTAATTAGAAAAATCCCTACCACTCTAATCGGGTTTAGGTATGTCAATTTCATTTTAAAATGCGAATTGTTTTTAGAAAATAATTGTTGTAGTTAAAGCAACAAGGAAACAAAAATCCGCAAGTGTTTAGCCTGGGCTCCACAGTGAGGTCTCCAGACTTAATCACGGAACTTCTGCAAACCACACTGTGAGACGTCACCATCTGTCCCTCTACAGCGTGCAGCGGGGCTCCTCACACAACAGGAATCCAAACATTTGTTGGGTAGAGGAATCTGAGCAACGTGGAGACACACTTCCACCGTCTCGCCGATTGTGCTGTCTTATTAAATGTCCTTTGATAGCAAAGACCAGTCAGCGTGGGAGGAAATGAGGTGTTTGCAACGGAGCGAATGGCTGGCCACGCAAGCGTGTCCTAATAACAGGGTGTCAGCTAAAAAACATTCCCATCTTGTTTTTTACCTCACTAGGCAAGCTTTAGTTAAGCTGCTGTAAATTATGCCAGTTCTGTGTTTTGTCATTTTTTTGAAAGCCTGAAATGGAATTATCTTTATCATCTACACACACACACACACAAAAAGATCATCCTCGTTGTATAAATGAATTACATAGACGTTTAGGCAAAAATTGAAGGAAAATATTTAGAAATGTTGACATTTGTATTAATCTCTCACATAGTTTTTGAAGCCTAGGGATGTTAGCTAGGGCTTACTAGACATATTTTATTGTCACTGGGAATTAGCTGCATTAAAGGAAGAAAACAAATTCGTGGAAAACTGGAGTGGCGGTGCAGTTCATTGTAAACCCTGATTCTGCCACACGCAAGGGAGAAAGGGTCATCTCTCTCAAGTCACTTTGTCTGTCCCTCTCTTTACATGATCTAACACTGCAGATTTCTGAGACCCCAAGGGCACTAAATGGGTAACTCCTCTGGGGACTTTGAGAGTGTGAGCCTCGGACAATCCCATTTTGTTGGCAGAGTGCTATGGGCAGCGAGTCTGGCAGTCTCTGGTGTTTGAAGTTGAAGTGATTATAGAAGGCTGAAGAAGGGCAAAGGAGCTTTCTGTTGCTTCTTCCCCAAATCCCGTTTTTTAGGTTTCAGGCTGGCCTTCCAAAATGCATCACACTTGAATATCACAACACCAAAATATGAAGACATCTAGGGATGGACTTTGTCTTCAATATTTTTGCAACTGAAATACACAAGATAATGTTTTTCGACTTATTTGTTTGATTTATTTCCAGACTTTCTTGGAAATGTGGCACATCCATCAGAAAAGATCATAGGCTCCAAAGACTGTCTCTGACTTGATTTTGAGTCTGCTACTTGCTAGCTGGCTCACTGTAGACAAACTTTCCCTGGCCATTTTGCTTATAATGGGAGGACAATACATAACTCTCCGGCAGACAGGCAGGGTTTAGCCGGTTGTCAGCATAGTGATTGACACTTAGGAAGCATTCAACAAATGCTGGCCCCTCCCACTCCTATGCCCCAGATCCCCGGGATTCTATTAGAAAAGGTACTTTGTAAGGATCACTTTTGATGCCTTGGTTTGTACTTAACCTTGGCTGGGTGTGAGAGAACTACCGCTATATTATTCCTGATGCCCCCATTCTACTTCACTGCTAAGGAAACAACTATGTTTTTGTTGTTGTGCTCTTTCCTTGGTGGCTCTGTTTTCTGCCTCCTCCAGAATATAATTGCCATCTTACAGCAGGGTGCTTCGTAAATTAGAGGTGATGGTGAGTTGGTTTTCCCTGGTCCTATTCTACCCATGGGAAACAGTTCATCATTTCAAAATTGATGCAGTTTTATGTCATCTCTGTCTATTGGGACTAAGATTACTAACAGATACCATTATAAAATATGGGGATAACATGTCAACACCAATAAGTATACTAAAAGTTAAGTTTTTTTGTTGGGTAGCTTAACTCGGTGTGACAGAGAGAGAGAGAGAGAGAGAGAGAGAGAGAGAGAGAGAGAGAGAGAGGGACCAAGATATAGCTTGACTAAAACCACATCAATTACAATTCTTAGGTAGTAGTTTCTCTTAATCTTGTAGGGCCTTTCATTTACATACCAAGATATGCAAATTCCAAGTTTGTTTAATGCAATCATGCAGTAACTACCATTTAAACACTCATCACAATGCTGTAACTTAGGTATTTAGTGGAGGTGAGTGAAAAATACTTGAGTTTAAATATAGCATTTCTTTTAGAAACACTAAAATATGTTACTGGTAAAAACTTGTATACAATCAAAGAATATGTTATTTTAAAGGAATCCTGGTCACATTTGAAGGGCGGTAAAGTGGCATGTATTGGTTTGGTGAGCTGGTTGGTTTTTACCAACGTGACGTAAACCTAGACATGCTCAAGAAGAACCAATCTCAACTGAGGAACTGCTTCCAATAGAGTGGCCTGTGAGCAAGTCTGTGGAGCAAGTCTGTGTCCTGATTGCTAATTAATGTGGGAGGGCTCAGCCCGCCGTGGACTCTAGGTGTAATGCCATCCCTGAGCTGGTGGGCCTGAACCATGTAAGAAAAGTAGCTGAGCAAGCCAGAGAAAGCAAACAGCAAGCAGCATTCCTCCATGGTCTCGGGGAAGTTTTATGTTGCCAGTGCCAGCCGTGGCTTCCCTTCCTGATGGATGGTAACCTGCAAGCTGAAACAAACCCTTCCTTCCTTCTACAAGTTGCTTTTGGTCAGTTTTTTTTTTAATCACTGGCCAACTGAAACGAATGTGTGGAAAGTTAACAAGATTTAATCACAAAAGGGTTAGTGCACAGCATGGTGATATAGCAGGGAACGTTGCTGGGAGAATGAACCACAGCTTAATCTCTGTCTAGGAGGAGAGACTACTCCATCCCTTTTCACCCTGGCGATAAGTAGGATAAAGAAAAGCTTTTTCTTAAAAAAAATTATTTTTTAGACTATTGAAAACAATTTACTGTGCACACGTGTGTTGTGTTTCTGGTGAATGGTATTTGTTAGTGTAGTTGTGTACATGTGTGCGTGACGTGTGGAGGGATTGATGGTGGGTGGTGTTTTGATCATCCTCTACCTTTACATTTTGAGACAGGGTCTGTCAGTGCACCAGAAGCTCACTGATTGACAAGAGCTGACTCAGATGGGCTTCGGGAACCTCCAGTCTCTGGCCCTCACCATGCCGCGGTTACAGGCATGCTCTACTATCCTGGCTTTTTATGTGGGTTCTATAGATCTGAACTCAGGCCCTCAAGATTCCACAGCAGGGACTACACCGACAAGGCATCCCTCCTGGCCCCAGAACAGCTTTTCTGTTTCCCACAGAGCATGTGCTGTCATACTGACATAAAGACCAGAGTGAGAACTGGGACATACAGTTTCATTTGTTGGTTCTAGGACAATACCAAAAATGCTTTCCATTAAGAAAACAATATTGAGAGGCTGGGAGTGAAACTCACCATGGTCCTCCACAACCAGGTTATGTGACATCCCATATTTCCTGGTCTCTCCTATATGCTGAGACCAAGGGACAAAACGGGAGTGATAGACAAGTTGACATGAAGATCCTAAGCTTAGACCTGGTAAGAAACAGCTCTGCTGGCTAATGTCCACAGTTGAATATCATCAAACTGTGAGTCTCATTATTTACCTGCCCACAATACACATGGCACATAATATACATGGCTCACACATTCTCTAGCGATATCCAAGTCTCTGTCCCCAATGAGGCCACAGTCTCCATACTCGCCTATCACACCCTCTTCTTTTGGGTGTGTGCCTACTCAGGCACCTGTAAAGGGCACGAGACCATTAGCTGTCCTGCTGTGTCACTCTCCGCCTTATTCCGGAGGGTCTCTCACTGACTTTGGAAATAGACCGACTCTAACTCCAACAATCGTCAGCCCCCACCCCTCCACTCCAGTGCTGGGGTCACAGGCATGGATGGCCACACCCAGCTTTCCATATGGTGGAGACTTAAGCTCAGGTCCTAATGCCTGCACAGTGAACACTCTTTTCCACTACGCCATCTTCCAGTCCTTGCCTCTGGTGTTTGAATTCACATTTTCTTCTTGCGGTGGTTTGATAAATGTTAAGACGTTACCTGAAGACATTTAGTTTGGTGGGGCAGCATTCCTGTCCTGTTGCTGTCCTCTCTATAGCTCCTTCGGCATTGCCCCACCTTTTAGCAGGAAGCCACCAAGCTCTCCCTGATCACCAGCCTTCAGATCACCAGTGAGCAGCAAGAAGGCGGGTATGTGCTGGTCTGGGGACTGGTTGGCAGTATTTTGTCAATTTACCTAACTCATTCCTAAGGATCACTGAATAGATATTTTAAAGGCAAATGAGCTGGGTAAGCTGTAGGGGGAAATATCAGAAATATTTTAAACAGAGAAATCAGCGGTTAAAAGGGGGAGTAATCCATTTCTTTAAGGTTTAGAGTCACCCATTGTTTTTCAAAACTTCACTTGTTTTATGTGTATTAGTGTTTTATCTGCATGTATATATGTGCACCACATTTGTACTTGGCATCCTTGGAGGTCAGAAGAGGGTGTTAGAGCCCACAGTACTGGAATTACTGATGGTTGTGAGCCATCACGTTGGTGCTGCAAGAGCAACACGCGCTCTTAACCCCAAGCCCTCTTTTGAGCCCCCACTCATTCACAGTTTAACGGAAGGGGCTACACACACTGAAGACTCATGGGATGATTAACATATGGAGGCCATCACTTCAGTCCTAGCTGACTGGGAATTGTCAGCCACTGTTGGGAAAGTCTTATGTCAATAAAGCACTGTTGAGCCAATAGGGAACCAAGATAGGAGGGACTAGCAGTCCAGGAGGATTCTGGGAAGGAGAAACAGGAGAGTCGAGATGTAACGCCATGGAGTAGGAAGCCCGGAACTATTCTCAGGTAAGAGAAATACTTAGATTAACAATTATGGGGTAATTACTTAAGTCAGAGCTAGCCAGTAAGAAACAAGCAAGGCCAACAGCTTCATAATTAATATAGCCTCCTGTGTGTTTATTTGAGACTGATGCGGCTCTAGAACCAGGCTGGCGGGAAGGCTTCTCTCAAAGAAAAAGCTTCTCTTTACAAGCCACTGGTGAGCTACGCAGGAAGGGGCTAATACAGGCTTCCCAACACACCTGCAGATACGAGACATTTACTTGAAGGACACAGAAACAGTACCTCCAGTGGCCTTTTCCTTAGGAATTCTTACTACGTGACTTTATTTGGTTTTGTGAGCTAGGGCATTTCCTTATCCTTTGTATCACCGAAAGAGAGAGAAAACAGACAAGAGAACGCTGGTCTCAGGTCGCCGAAAAGGTGCTTTCCTATGATGAACCCCAAGATGCAGAATCATGATCTGGAGCAGGCCCTCTTCCATCAGCTGGCCTGGGCTCACAGCTGACAACTTTAGGGACTCAGTCTCTCTGAACCCTACGTGTTCTTATCTGGAGACTATCTGTCTACACTGGGCTGCTGTCTCGGTTCAGTGAGCCAGTGTATACAGATTACCAGTGAGGTGCCTGGAGGACAGGGAGTGCTCAGGCAACACCAGGGCCATTATGCTCAAAACAGAGGTGCACACCCCAGTGTTTAAGGGCTGCCTATGGGAGATGGTAAGAACCGGGGACCAGAGTTCAGCTCTCACCCTGACATCTATTCCATTCTGTCAAACTGAATAACAATGCTGAAGCAAGACTGAGGTGACATATTGCAGGCCAAAAAAAATGTTTCCTATGGACTTTAGATAAACCCTTTGGTCTGGTTAGTAGGATGAAAGAAAACAAAGTGAATTCCCTGGGCTAATCTTTATAGTTATATTTTTATTATAGATTGCTTTTAATTAATTTTCTTTTAATAATGCTGTGTGTTTAGTGGATTGATTTAGCCTTCTAGCTTGTGTGTTTGGAGGGTGTGATTGTAAGGAAAATGCCTGAAAAGTGTAACCCACTCTTTAGATGACCTGTATTTAGATTGCTAGAAATGCAAACAGGCGAGTTCACCCTATGTCAAACCACGATTTTGATGACATACCTTTAACAAATTATTGATACTATTTCAAAATAAAAATTATTTTTCTTTTAAAATGTCAATACAACTACTTACAGATATCATTTACATAAATGGCCCTGTGCTACGTGTTTTAGATTATTGCTTTCAATTTGTGATTTAGTCTTCAGAGACAAGGTCTTAATATGCAACTGAGGCTAGCCTGAAATTTCTCATGCAGCTAAGGCTGGCCCCAAACTTACAACCAGCTGCTTCAGCTACCTATAGGCTGTGATTATGGTCTATGTCATCCTGCTTCTGTTGTTTTATTCATTCCTGACAACTACTCTAAAGTAGGCATATGAGCCCCATTTTATTGGTGGAAAAAAAATCAAGGCTCAGTTGTATTAAAAAATTCATCTAAGACAACTCATTATTTAGTGATGACAGATCTGGTTTGAGTCCATACCTCTATGATTCCAGAGTCTGTCATAACATCCCCGGCCCCAAGTCAGATGATGAATGCAAGTTTTACAGCGTATTTTCAGCCACTGGTAAGAAGCAAGTGTAAAATTCTCTTATGAAAGAACAATTTGGCCCTTACCTTTTCCCAAGTACAACTGCCCCTGGGTCTTGAGATTTCGCCTCGAGCTCCTGAACTTCCTCCACTAGCGTTTTGAAGGCCGTCCTCTTGATACTGCCGGGAGAAAAGGATTTGCATGGAAATTCCCCTGCAAGACTTTACAGATGTGGACATGTGGCTTCCTGTCAAGCTGTTGGCAAGCAGAGCTTCAACAGATCGGAAGAGCTAGGGCACTTCTATTTAGTGATATAGAAGCAGTAGTCGTAACAAGTAAATGAGATTTACAATACTCATTTACAATACAATACAATAGTAAATATGTTACTAACTTCAGTAACATTGTAGGGTAAGACATCATTTTAAAACCTAACTATTAAGAAAAATCTTAATATATCTTTAGAATCAGCGAAGCAAGGAGTTTCTTTTCATAGCTCCTAAAAACATTTTGAAGCTGAGATCTTTTATTTTCCTTTCTATTTTGAGGTCTTGCAGGTGATTTCTAAAAACATATTTCCTGATGTAATTTTCTCCAATCCAACAAATGCATATGCCTTTGACGTTATCTGAAAGTAACCACTTTATTTCTCATTTGGCCTTTGAAACTAACTTAGTTTTCTTATTGAATCACACCTTTCTTCTTTGAAGTTAATAAATATCACTCACTGGTTCTAGTTTTGCAAATTTTACAAGTTTGAGAACTACGGAAGCCCGAGGGGTGACATGCATGTATAGATTTGTGTATATAGCCATATATCACATACTTACACTTTGCACAGCACATCCAGAAGCAATGACGCCACAGGTATGGAGAGCAAGCCCATCCAAAAGACCCCAGAGCTGAAGAGCATGGCTGCCTGTGGAAGTCATCACAAACAGTTGACATTTCCGTAAAGAGGTACATCATTCACACTTAGTTTCTCGTGATAATTTAAGTAAATTACCTTAAATATTTTATAAGGGAAAGATAATACTCTGAACTCAAATACGTAAGATAGTTGGAACTAAAAGCTGTACTTATCATGCATTTACACCAGTTTTTCCTCTCAAGCAGCTGATAGAGAAGTTTTAATCACACATCAAATTTTTTCATATATACACACATGGATTTTGTAAAATTATTGTGTTCAATGATATGAGGGCATCATTGTCAATCTTTCTGAGGAAAGAAAATATATTCTGGATTTAAGTGAAGTAATATGGCATATAAAATAATTCATATGTAGAACAAAATCTAATAATTCTGGCACTGAAAATGAATTTTACACTTATCACATTGTAGGACATTAAAAAAATCACCCAGATACATTATGACTATGGTGCATTCAAATTAAGATATCTATGAAAGTAACAACTTAATTATTTTTGGCAACTGAATAGATGTAATCTTAATTTTGTTCAATGATTAACATAAATTTTATCAGTATAAATTTAGGATTGTTAAAGTCAAATCAAATATCTTGTATGTGAAACTCAAACAAAGGTATACTAAAACTAACTTTAAATTATTCCATTATATTAAGTCTTAAATTGAGTATTAGGGGCTTTCTGACTATAAACAAAACACTTCTGCGATTTTAGAAAAGTAATACATTCTATTAGTTGTTTGTGATTAAAATAAAATATCACTGTCATAGAATTAGATCATGAAGAATTTAAAAAGACTAGTTTTGTACAATAACAGATACATTTTGGTTTCACTTCCTTGAGTTGATTTGTTTCTGAAGGGCAATCCTACAGTACCCGTTTAGTTTGTAAATATACTATTATAATTCCAATACACAGTAGCCAACTAACTCCTGTACACTTAAATCCTGCTGCAAATCATACAGGAAGCGGTCTTCTTTTTAATACTTGAATTTAGGAATTAATTCTGGTATTAAAAAGGACCTAGAGTTTAATTCTAGGTAGCTTCGCAATCATACGTAGTTCTAGTAAATCAACCCTCATCACATAGGAAGATCAATTTTAAAGCATGTCTTGGACTCACTATTCATTTTTACTTTCTAAGGGGCACCAGGAACTACTCTCATTTTTTTCCCCTACATGAACACAAGCTATTGATTGATATAGACTGCCACTCAAGGCCACTAAGGGTTTTTTTTTTTTTTTGGTCAATACGGGACTAAACATCTCACATCTCTGCACACTTAAAACAAAAATGCCATCATAAAAAAAATCTCAGAAAATATAACTTGACACATGGGTTCTGAGGAACAACATCCATATTCCAGGTACCAACAAGTGAAAAATGTCCCCATAAAAGTCACTTTATTTAATAAGCAAAACATGATCTGGGACATGTTTGCTGACATCCTCAATAGTGAAAACCAACAATATCTGTGTATAGGAAATGTCTATCAACTCACTGGCCTTTGTTGCCATTCAAGGACACTTTCTAGTAAGGTAACAGCTATTAGAAAACAAAAACAAAACAAAACAAAACCCCTTGCATATCTTTTTCGTTCTGGGGAAAAGGGTAAGATGAGATGCTAAGTCATATGACTGCAAACATGTTTCCCTGGCTTACTTTTAATGTATTTTAATGTGGAGGGCAAGAGAAGAAAGACTTCTTCTTGCCTTTGGCAAATCGTGTATTAACCTCGAGCTAAATGTCTCTGCTCACAAGAAAAACTTGGATCCTGAAGGCTGCTAATTCTGACCATTGTCATGCTAATGACCAGGGGGCAACTACAGCCTACTATTCAGCTACCGGCCTTGGGCTTTACAAATGAACATGAATCGAGGGGAGAAAACTTTTTCTGAGTCATATCTGAAAGCCTGTCAGATTTTTTTTTCTTTTGCAGCGTTAATCCAAACCTAAAAGATTTAAAGCTGACGTTCTCGTTTGAGACAGAGAGTCTCTTTGTGTTTTTTTGGATGAAGAGGAGGGAAAAAAAAAAGAAATCCCACAGAGGTATTTCCTTCCTTTCTGTACAAGAAAGCTCCCCTCCCTCAGGGGAAGCGAGTTTGTCTCTAACTTTTCACATCTCCCCACTCTCAGGCAGGTCAGCTGGGAAAAGGCAAGCCGTGTGCAGACAATGGCGCTTAACAGCAGTGTCTGTCAGGGGTTGGTCTGGGGTTCCCTCTGAGAGCAGTTTGCAAATGGTCCTGAACGTGGGAGATTGGGGGGCAGTGCCAAGTGTCCCTTGTCCTCTTCCAGGTCCTGTGAAACCAAATGGAATCTGCCACAAAAGCGGCTCCCGGAGAGGTCTATGCACACAGGACTGTGTGGCTGGTGAATTGCAGGCCTGCCTGTGCAACAAGTAACTGCTTGTCTCTGCAGAGGTCACAGGCTCCAGATGAGAGCACGAGGGCTTCAAAATAAACCAGCTCTAACTCTAATGGGAAACACAATCCAGCTGGGGAAGTGCTCTGAAATTTTCAAGTAAACCTGCAGAAGAATATTTGAGAAGACGTCAGCTTATTGTGCAGCTAGCCCACTGGAGACACAGGACCAGGAGCAGCTTATCTCTGACCTGCAGTGGGGACACCAACAGAGCACCTTCACAGTCAGCTTGTCTGCACTCAGCCTTACAGAATGGAGAACTCACACTTGCGGCCGGCCTGCCTGCAGCCCTTAGCCGCAAAGTTCTGGCCATCACTGACTAGAAGGGTTGGTAAGGCATGCTAAGGCACACACACTTTTCCGTAGTCTCAAAAAGATGGTTTCAAAAGAAAAGCACATTTGAGAACGCTTGTGCCCCAACCAGAGCAGGGCTGGGGTTACACAGCGTTTGACTTGGTCTGCAAGTGATCATGACAGCCACCAAGACTCCAAGGAGAGTGATTCCTAAATTATCAAGTGGGTTTGAGAATGAAACCCCTCAGGGCAACATGGCTGCATTTATTATTATTGATGCGTTCTCCTGTCTTTATCTTGATTTTTGGAATTCTTTAGAAGAGTCTCGTCTCCCGTTCTTTCTAGTGATTTGTCCCATGAGCTTTAAGGAAGGGAGGTTTTTTTCTTATCAGGTTAAGTGAAAACCAATCTATAAATTTTAGTTTTGATCACTATATATAAAAATATAAAATGTATACATACACACATACATACACATGAATGTTTGTCTTATCCAATGCTAACAAATAGCATGAGTCAACATAACTGATCATAAGTAAAGTCTCAGCCTTAAAGATTTGCTAACAGGAGGGGTCTTGCTTAAGCACCTCAGTCTCACATAAATTTGCTCACAGGAAATGGAGAAAATAGAAATCATTATATACTACCTTTATAGGGGGGGTTATTAAGAAAACAGTGCTACAAAATTTGGTGTTTTTTTCTTTTTCTTTTTTTTAGAGAAAAGGTTTTTACTATGTAACCCTGGCTGGAATTATCTACCTACTTTTACCTCCTCAGTGCAAGGGTTACAGGCACATGGCACCATGCCTGGTTTACAACTTAGACAGACAGACAGACAGTCCTTTCTTTCCTCCCTCCCTTTCTTTGTCCTTTTGTCTCAGTCTTTTTTTGTAAGAGAAAATAATATAAACCCAAAGGAGTTGCAAGTTAATGTTAGCGATAATCTTAAAAATTCCTAAGAACTACGCCTGGGACTAGTCCTCAGTGGATGCCCCATCTATGTGCTGTGTTGGAGGCCAGACTTCAATCCACAGCCCTCCGATACAACAGTGAAAACCAAGAAGTAATACCATCTAGATAAGGCTTTTTTTTTTTTTAAACAGGCTTTCTATAGTGGGGAAGAAAATCTTCCAAAGGAATAGATTCACAGAAACACAGAACTTCTACATGTTCAAGGTAAGGCATGCTGGAGAATGACTCTCTCTCAAATGCCTAAAGTTCTGTGCTAATAATATCTGGTCATAAGGAGAGCCCACTCATCTTCCTACGTGAGACCAGAAAGAGTTCTCAAAAGCCATACCAAGTCATGTCATCAGTGACACGGCCATACTCTGCAGTCATAAAAAACTAATTAAATCAAATTTTTAAAAAATGCACCATCACAGTTGTAGGTATGGAGAGCTGCAGGTCAACAGACACTTGTAATAATTCATATTCCCCCTTGGAATGTATTAGCCTGTGGGAAAGGATGGTGACACAAACACTCAGTCCTGTTGACTTGATAGCTCAGTTTCTGCACTATGTGTCAAATTCCACCCAGCTTCTGTGTATATATTAGCGTCGCATGAATCCATTTGTGATTACCAGTCCTACAAGGCCCCAGGGACCCAGGTATGGTGAAGTGACCACAGCCTCAGAGTCAAGCGCGTGGCGGCTTAAGCAAGGCATGGGGAAGACGGAGTAAAGAGCCCATTGGGCCCCACTAAACAGTCTGTTTTTGCCAACCCGCTGGCGGACCTTGCAACGCCTTTCCAAGGCTTGGAACACAGGTATTTGCTGTGAATAGCAACAGCTAACTGGTCACTCTGCAGCTGGTTGAGTAAATGTATTTCCATATGAGGGAATATTATGTATGCTCTTCAAGATCCTGCCCACAGAATGTAATGAGCAGAAAACTGATTGTTTGGAAGAGCCTTGAGTAAAGAGAAAGATCAGTGCCGCTATTGCACCATTAGGGACACCTTGCCATGCTGGTCATTGTTGTGTTTCATGGGTGCTACAGCTAGGCAGGATACTGGCTACTCTCCTCCCTTGGCAGCTCCTATAGCACCTTCTGGTACTAAGGAAGTTAGTCCTCAGGGAGGAGGCTTTCAGGTCAGCCAGTTTGGATCCTTCTGCATGCAAGGTGCATGGCATCTTCAGCAATAAGGACTCACTTTCAGTCTCTGGGAGGAATCCAAGGGCAACTGCAATAACACAGAATGTTTTGGTAGCCTCTTAGACTCCCTTCACCAGTAACTCAACTTTTCATGTACTGGCACAAGACGTTTTGCT